CCCAACGCCAAGCTCCAAATTTAATTCGATCAGTTTGCCTATCGGAGCAAACGTTAGTGCCAAATTGAAGTCGAAAATTTGGGCCAATGAATTTTTAGATTTCAGCCTATTGCTTGGTTCTGGGGCTTGTGATACGCGTTATCAGCTATCGGTGGGGCCTCAAGAAGGCTCCAATGTTCCGCTTTTATTTTTGGAACCAACACACAAAGTGAAGTCCATCCCTAATATCGAGGCATGGACTTCAGCGTTTCAAATTTTTGTCGGGGTGTACACAACTAAATTCCCCATGGAGGCCCCCGCTTTGATGAAATACGGCGAAGTTGTTCGCGATTTGGCTGCTCGCGGGGGTGACTGGCGTTTTTACGACGCTCAATTTCGTCTTTTGCGTCAAACTAACCCAGCCGATGCACCGTGGAGCGATACTCACTGGGAACTGTGAATAAGGGCGCAAAATTTCAATCATTCACGCTTCACTAAAACCCAGACACCTACACGTACACTGCATGAAAAACCGCGTATTCACAGGTGAATACGTGCGAATATGAGTTCGAATATGGTCCATATTCACACGTATTCACAGATATTCACTGTGAATATCCTCGGAATATTGGAGGTATTCCGATGTGAATACCTGTGAATAAAACACACCGCGTATTCTGACCTAGAATACCTTCGAATACTCTGTGAATATTTTTCAAGACCTAGTATTCACACTTCGGCATAGAAAATGTGATTGTACGCATGAATACGGGATAATCAACGAGTTATATTGTGTAAATATTGCAGGAAATGCGTTTATATACCACGGAATAGGCAAAGTTGTTTCAGTTCAATGCCGGTGTCAACTGTTATCCAGCATTTCTTCTCATCACGGTCACAAATTGAAATTGCACTTGATTTGTTTAGGCGACCGACAATAAAGACAATAAATGTTACCAAACGCACGATGATTTTTATTTGATTAATTTTTTTGCTGCGGCAGGAATGTCGAGTATCGTATATCCTCAGTCGATGAGCGCTGAGTAGCCTCGTAAGTCGTAAAAAAGCTGTATAAAAAGAGAAATATCCATCAATTTCTTTAATTACCTGTGTAAAAGAAGTTATATATAAAAAAATACTTTTATTTTTGCTTGGATACGTAAACACATGGGTAGAAAGTTGATGATTCTGTATCGTCAAAATACGGTGGCCCAGAAGGCTCAAACACAAACAAAAAAGGAAAACGCAAGCAAAAAGGGAAAACACGTATAAATCAGAACAGCAACAGCAAGTTAAAATCGATAACCCTTTTAAAAAAGCGATACGTAATATGAAAATGGAAAACAACGATGTGCAAACAAAAAACAAAAACGCAAACAAAAAACAAAAACGGAAGTGATGACACAAAACGGAAGTGATGACACAAACGGAAGTGATGGCAGAAAACGGAAGCTGTAAAAGCCCAAAATACGCGGGAATTTAATTAATACACCACGTGCGAGTGGCGGGAGAGGAGTGGCTTCAGCTTTGTACTGCATACTGTTTAAGCAAATTCTACACGATGTTTTGCCGCTTTTGCGGAAAGACTACGCAAGTTGACGCGAAATACTGTTGCTTCTGTGGTACATCGATTGATAACCCAGGTTCTTCTTCGAGTACTAGTAGCTCGACAGCATCAGTTGCCGAACAAGAAGGGTCTCGAGCTACAGCAACGATAAGTTTCGATGCTTACAAGAAAAGAAAGGAAGCAGAGAGGTCTAGCAGATTTCAGAAACCGGTTGCTAAGAAAACAAAGTCAGTTGAAAAGAAAAAGAAGGAAACTGAAGTGCCTGTGAACATTGGTTTTATGAAGTTGGAGATGGAATCTGGTTCCTTGAAAAGGTGTCGCGGTAAAACGTTGCCAGTCAAAGTTTTTCCTTCAAGTGGGGCAGTCGAAATTCTTCAGAAAGCCGTGATAAAGCATTCGAACCACGATAAAAACGTGCACGAAAACCTCGAGTATGTACTGCTCTACCCGGATTGTACAAAAGTTGTTTCCCTACCAGGAACCGATGAACCGTTTGTCCTGAAAAAGTATAGAGAAGACGTTGGTAAAGCCTATCAACGGATAACACTGTTTATTGCAAAGAAGACTGATCATCTCTTCGCAGAGCTCCCTAATGTAGAAGATTCGGATGACGAAAGTGACGAGGAAGCCTGGCCGAGCCTTGTGCATCCTCAGCAACCAACAAGGGCTACTGCTGTTGATGATCAACCAGTGACCACTACCCAGCCCGCTGTCGAAGTTATTGAACTAGATAATGAGGATGCCCCCCATTGCAGTGATTCAACTACGCCACCATCTACAAGAACCAATGAACAATTGCCTGCAAGAATGGTGGAGTGCCCACATTGTTTTCAACTTTACCCAATTGAAAACATTGCAGACCATGCAGATCTCTGCATTGACGACTGGGTGGGTGAAGTTGACCTGCCGATCATGCAAGCAGATTCAGCACAAGAATCAGATACAGAAGCATTGCATGCACTTGAGCATAGAAGTGATGATGTGTCTTTGAATGAAGTTCTGTTGAAGCTCATTGAGGACCATGTAAACACAGAGGGTGAAGCAAGAGCAATCCGTGTGCGTAGAAAATGTTTGTGGGAAGATTTCAAGGAGGCAAGGAGCAAAGGGAAGTTGTCTCCCACTGTCCAATTTCGTATCATCTTCATTGGCGAACCTGCCATTGATGATGGTGGGCCTAAGAGGGAATTCCTTTCTGGTATGTATGTCTCACTGTCACTAATAATTTCCTAACATGTCTCGTGATAATTATGTAATCATCTTATTGTAGTAATTACCTACTGTAGTTCCTCGATCTGATTGTACAGAGTACCTCATGAGACAGGTGCTAATAAAATTATTTGATGTAAACAAGTCACAGTGTTAAAAAAAATTTACTCAATGGATTATTGCCAAGCAATTATTCTGTCTTGCACTGTGCCTGCTTACAAATGCTACTTTGAATTTATTACATAGAACTATTGCAGCACATTGAGCATAAGTTCTTTTCTATGGGAAAACCGATCTCTTCCACCATCGCCCTACAAAATGAAGAGTTTGTATTAGCTGGTGAAGCCATGGTACTCTCAATACTTCATGGTGGTCCAGCACCATCATTTTTACACCCAAATTTATTCAAGTTCTTGGCTAATTTGCCATTGTCTGCAAATGTTGATTGTGAACCATCACAGTACAAAACAGCTGCTTTAAAAGTATGTGACAAATTATTGTTTTAAATATCATATGTAGAACCCATAGTATTATTATATTGTAACACAGTAGTGATGAGCTTATACAAGTTCACCTGTTTTACATGTCCTGCAGGACTCCAAATATGGGAACTTGTCAAGATAATGATTGATATGATTCTGACAGATTGTTCAACAAGCAGATGTGAGATAACAGGTCCTTTAGCTCATGATATAGATTACCCATCCATCTCCTGTCAAACTCAAGGCCTTAGACAATGGGCAGCTGCCCTCTGTTTATTTTTGTGCCCCCCCCCCTGGCAGAAAGCTCTGGCTATGCTGCTGGTAATAACACTGGAATATTTCCCCATTTTGTAACATTTTTACTGTTAATGGAAAAGTAACCATACAGTACCATGTAAAAATTGAAATTTAAAAACTTTAAGTTTAAAATACTAGAATCTGAATTTCATGTGTGGGTTCAACATATATACAACTGTATAATTATTTTTTTATGATTACATCACAAGGGGCATAAACATTTTCAAGTCTAGTTCCCTTGTGTTGCCATAATGTGTGACATATACAGTGACAGTATGTATTACTAATCAACATCCATTATATTGTTAGATTCAAGAGGCACCAGATGACAAGGATGTGCAAGAAATCCTGCTCTCTGATGATGTACTTGATATTTTACAAGACATTGGGTATTGTGGTGTGCCACAAAGGGAAACCAAGTCGTCTTCTGAGAAGATAGTACAGTAAGTCAGATCCATGTCAGTATTAAATATTTGATAATTTACATGCATCAACATCTAAATATTCAACATAATATAATTTTTAATTTGCATTATATGTTCTTACTGTAGATCTCTTTGTGTGAAGGCTGTAATTTCAACAGTCTTGCCCCAGTTAATGCAAATGCAACAAGGGCTCAGTAATTGTGGGGTGCTGTCAGCAATAAGATCATGCCCAGATCTCTTTAAACCTGTCTTCACTCCAGGCCAATCCCAATGTATTGCAGCTCAACAATTTTTGGATGAACTTTGTGTTGACTTCAGCTCATCTCAGCTCCTAAAAGCTAAAGAAATTGATGTTTTCAAATATTTCTGTGACTTCATTGATTCCATTGACAAGGAAAATCTTTCAGGTAGTGTACTAAATATTTGGCAATTGGCTACAACACTGGCTACAACTGACACATAACTGTACATATAATTGCCTGAATTTGTAACACCTTCACTATTTTGATTTATTAATTTGCAGAAAGAAGTGTTCATATTAGTGATTTGATTCAGTGGATGTCAGGGTCAAGCACTGTGCCTGTCCTGGGTTTCCCCAAAAAGTTTGGGTTGGCATTTATCCATGGTTGTAGTGCAATGTGCAAATGTCGGCCGACAGCATCCACTTGTGACATAAAGATCAAGTTACCTGTTCACATAAACAGTGTAGAAGAGATGGAAGTCATGATGGTTTCTGCCATTAAAGATTGCAGTGGATTTGGTTTAATTTAATTAACATTTCAATGTTATGAGGTTTTTAGTGATCATGCAAGAAAAACATTACCTTGTTAATATTACACTGTTTTGTTGCAAAGTACTATGTACACTTACCTAAAAACTCTTTATCAAAATCTGTATTAATTGTTCGAACACAGTACAGCTGATGAGTGTACAGATAAATTTGAACTTGTTGACAGACTTGCACCATTGGTAAGAACCAATCAAAATGGCTCTGTCTTAACACAGCATATTACATATTATACTGTTTGCTTTCTACAAATACGTTTAACTGTCTGCAATCCTTATCAGATTTAAAAATAAGTCATATGCCTGACTATGAGTGTCAGGATATAATAAGCCCTCATTTTCTATTACATAATGAAAATATTCCTGGTAGTCACTATCATGTGCTTCTTCACCATCATAATCCTCAATTTGTCGAGATGCTTCTTGGATTTTTTCCCTCGAAATTGCAATTTTACATTCTTGACCTTGAGAACGTTCTGGCAAATGGTATAATACATCTGGTATTCCAGGAACTGTACCATACCTAGAGGGCCTGATTCTGTGAGTATTCCAATGAAGCCGGACATTGTCCAGGTCTTTCTGAAGTACTCCATGGAAGCAGAACCAAAGGCACTCCATATGAAGTATGTTCCCCAGATCTAATATTCCACGGTTGGACATGTCTTTGAACATGTCAATCCACCAGGATGATCTCCCACGTCTGAAGGATGACCACCAACATTCAATGCGTTGGTTGCTTGGAGAAGAACCATACTTGTGTGCTTTTTCCCCAGCAAACTCGTCGTTTCCCTCTTGTCTTAAATAACATTGCATAGCAGCCATTGTACCATTTTCTGTACCACAGTCAGTTCTGAGAAGAACAGGACAACAAGATTGGCTCTGTACACACTCACAGAAAAACCTCGCTGGGATTTCTGGCTTGTTGTTTGATCTGGCAACCTCTAACCAAAGAATCTTCCTACTGTATCCATCAATTGCCCCGTGGATGGGGAACCCAAAAGGTTTGAGCTTGTCATACCCTGAAACAGTGCCAATGAATAGTATAACCTAGTTTTAGGCTTGGTAGGACAACTACTGGTAGTACAACAACAGTGTGGAAGTGGTAATATTAAACTAAAGCACTTTCACAACTGGTTGACAATTGACATAGAGGTATTTGTTGTGTATTGTCACTAACTTGAAATTTGAAGATCAGACTAGGATTTAATAAAAAAAACCTATTTTTTCTCTAAACCATACTTTAAAACATGTATGTAGTACATACTAACCATCCACATGCCAGCAAAAATTTGGACCATAAGACATGTATCTTCGCCGAGCTAATCTTCGCCTCCTTCTTTGCAGAGATGCCTCGGGATTAAGTTCTCGAACAAGAGTTGCAACTTTGCTTCGGGGAACATGAATATGATGGTCTAGTCGAAGGGAATGCCACACTGCCCTGTACCCTCTGAGAATACCTGGCCCACTGATTTCACGTTGGACTACTTCCCTTAGCTGGTCATCGTTATTCTCCACCCCACGTCGTCGAAGACCATAATCTTGTAGCCGTCTTTTCAGTGACGATAAACTTAGTTTTATGTCATGTTGACTTGCCAAAAAGTCAAGTATCACCTTGTTCTCATACCCACGATGGAAATAATATTCTATTAAATCCTTTAATGTGCTGTCTTCCATATTTTTGGTTGCGAGTATGCACCGGGGCCGCAGTGCTTGTGAGACTGGTTGCGACAAGAAGCTTTAATTTACTTCCGTTTTCTGCCATGACTTCCGTTTGTGTCATCACTTCCGTTTTGTGTCATCACTTCCGTTTTTGTTTTTGTTTTTTGTTTGCGTTTTTGTTTTTTGTTTGAGTTTTTGTTTTTTGTTTGCGTTTTTGTTTTTTGTTTGCGTTTTTGTTTTTTGTTTGCGTTTTTGTTTTTTGTTTGCACATCGTTGTTTTCCATTTTCATATTACGTATCGCTTTTTTAAAAGGGTTATCGATTTTAACTTGCTGTTGCTGTTCTGATTTATACGTGTTTTCCCTTTTTGCTTGCGTTTTCCTTTTTTGTTTGTGGTTGAGCCTTCTGGGCCACCGTATCAAAAGCATCCGTAATATATACAGTTCAGTGTTGGGAAATCGTAGGAAATTTCCTTTGGAAAATTTCCTCTTCGACATGTTAGTGACAATTTTTGCGCCAAGGAATTGCGGCGAAATTGCGAATAAATGGCGAAATTCGGAGGTCGTATAAAAAGTCCTCGCAAAAGTTGTCCAGTTCCTTTTGTTTACAAAACGAAACATGGCACAAATGTCAATTGGTTTCAACCAGGGCGCTTATATATAAATGCGTGGTTTCAACAGAAGT